GACTAGCCAGGTAAAGCCTACTTTACTTTCCTGTCTTCACCCTCGCTCCAGATTGCAGCAATGAAGTTATTCAAATATTTACCTTTGATTTTTAGCCTATTATGCACTACCCATCCCTCCATTAGCCTTTTCAGAAATCAGGCACTGTCCTAGCTCTGCTGGAAAGCCAGATTGCAGCTTCTAGACAGGAGGGGGGGGGGTGAGCAGGAAGAAACATCTGGCCCCACCACCGAAGAGAGGGAAGTGTAAAGGAAAGGTGATGTTTGCAAGCAATCCGTCATTCAACCTACATTGTGGTTCCCTGGGATGCTGGTTCCTGGAATCTGAACTTTGCGGCATATTGAGGAACTATCCAAAGTCTAATGGCTTCTGGTGACCCAAACGATGAAGGGTGGAACACAGAAATGGATAAGCAGGGAGGGAAGAAGAGGAACAAGATTGCACCTCACCCTCAGTGCTTTGCCATACATTCTCATCAAAGAACTGCCAGCCTAAATGTAGAGGAAGATTAAACCAAAGGATCAGCAAAACACTGTGTTTTCTTTACATTTCATTGCAGTGAAATTCTGGTGTGGGAGAGGAAGTGTAGGAGATGACCAGGCTGAGCCCGAAGGAGGGATCAAACGCGTCATCAGTCTTGAGTCCCTTCGTGCCCACAAGAAATCTAAGTCCCACCCACCTTGAATTCCACGGACTCTTATCTAGCATCAATTTGCTTTGACTGTTGGTAGTTCAGATTGTTATAGAGAGCTTAAGCTTGCAATCAACCCTTATATTCATTTGAATTGTCTGGATATCCTGATTTCTCACGGATGACAGGAAGGCAACACTTGCAGCAATGAACAATGAACATTTGTAGCACAGATGATGTTACCTAGCTGAGTAATGAAACATCTGCAAGAACACAGCCAAACTCAGAGAACACCAAGACCTCCACATTGACACCACCAATCTCTAGACGTTCTAAAGACATAGATATGGTGGTTCTGTCTTAAAATGATGCATGAAAAACTCACCAGTGCATTTCATCTCCTTTGCCTTCAACATTTCCTCCAAAGAGTTGAACATCTGAGTTCAGCCTATAAAATATCCACCACTGGTAACTGATTTTTCTCCTCGGCTGCTCAGAAAAAGAACACAACTAGGAGGGGAGAAGCAGAGATCCCATTTCATCTGAAATCCAGCTGGAGAAGCAACAGAACCAGTGGATGAATAGCCATTTCCAGTGGTGGCTTCAAGGGCAGAACTTGGACAGAAACCCAGAGTCCCCTGCCGCAGAAGGACTAGGAGAGCCCCAGAATTGCAGGATTGGCTTAACAGATCTTGAAGTAAGAGAAGACCAGACGTTATACTACCTGCATGCAATGATCTGAATGGGTTCCCATTGCATTATTAAATTCAATCCTAAAGGAACTTAATATTCTTGTAAATCTTGGCTAATCCGGTGCCCTCCAAAGAGTTTGGAACTACAGCCCCCAGAATTCCAGAATTTCAGCTTAGCTGAAGTAAAGGAATACATTTCTATCAGCTTCTCTTGAGAGTAACCAGTGTAAATAGATTCAGGTCAACCCATCAGTGTTCACTACATTCTGCCTTAGAATGGAGACCTGGTCATTCACAACCTTCCTTTTTGCTCTTCTAGCATCTACTTCATCTTTACTTACCTCTTCCCATTGATGAATATACCGTATGAGCCTAGACAGTCTCAGGAGTCTCAAGAGGCTGAGGATTTTGGTAAAACGGACAATCCGCAGAGCTCGGGCTGTCTTATATACCTCTGAATCGATGCGGGTCTCCACAATCAGGAAAATGTAGTCTACTGGGATGGATGAGATAAAATCCACCACAAACCAGCTTTTGAGATACTTCATCTTAATCCTCTGGGGGTCAAGGATGATCTCCGTGTTGTCCTCCACCACAATCCCCGTGCGGAAATTGAGGACCAAGTCAATGAGGAAGAAGGTGTCTGAGACCACGTTGAAGACAATCCATGGGGTGGTGTTCTCATCCTTGAAGAAGGTGATGCCTACTGGGATGATGATCAGATTTCCAACCATGAGGAGCAACATGGTGAGGTCCCAATAGAATCTAGAGAGCAAGATAGAGACCTGGGTCAAACGGAAAGAAAACACCAGTGGGATCTAAGACCTGAAAGGGGCATCAACTTTGTCCACAAACTACTAGACCAGGGGTAGTCAACCTTGGCTCTTTTATGACTTGTGGACTTCAACTCCCAGAATTCCTGAGCCAGCCATGCTGAGGGGAAAGGGAGAGGCTCAGGAATTCTGGGAATTGAAGTCCACGAGTCATAAAAGAGCCAAGGTTGACTACCTCTGTACTAGGCAATTAACAGCAGGGGAACACTTAGAAATAATCAATGGAAGAGAATATTTGTAGCTCAGCGTTGAACAGTTGGGGTCCTTGATGCTCTCCGAGCTTGGTTGTTTTCTTGAAGACAATTCATTCCCATGATCAGTGTTGGAAAGTAGCAAACCCCACTCCCTTCTAGCACTGATGATATTACCTAGTTTGGCCCTGAAATGTCTGCAAGAAAACAACCCAGCTCAGAGAGCACCAAGGACTCCTTTTAGAAATAAGGACCAAGATACCTCTGAGCACACATGGAGTTCAAGAACTTGCTCTCTCGGGGCTAGCGTCCCTATCCTTTGCCCACAACAATTGATCTTAATTTTCCTCTTAAGCTTTCATCTAACTTGAAGAGGCGAAACAGACATTTTCTTCGGTTGGAGAACAATTGGATATCATTTAGGGCAGCCGTTCACAAATCATCCCCACAAAGGAACTGCATGACCAGGAAACAAATCACACCAAAAAAATGGATATAACACTGACTGATAAATTAACTGCTTTGCTCAGAGACAATAATTTAAGTAAATTTCTTGCAACTCAGAAGCCACTGTTAAATGTTGAGTAGAATAGAATAGAATGGAATGGAATGGAATGGAATGGAATAGAATAGAATAGAATAGAATAGAATAGAATAGAATAGAATAGAATAGAATAGAATAGAATAGAATAGAATAGAATAGAATAGAGAACAAGAACTAAGAATAGAATAGAATAGAACAGAATAGAGAACAAGAACTAAGAATAGAATAGAATAGAATAGAATAGAATAGAATAGAATAGAATGGAATGGAATGGAATGGAATGGAATGGAATGGAATAGAGAACAAGAACTAATAGAATAGAATAGAATAGAATAGAATAGAATAGAGAACAAGAACTAAGAATAGAATAGAATAGAATAGAATAGAACAGAACAGAATAGAATAGAATAGAATAGAATAGAATAGAATAGAATAGAATAGAATAGAATAGAATGGACCTTGGAGGTCTTCTAGTCCAACCCTCTGCTCAGGCAGGAAACCCTATACCATTTCAGACAAATGACTGTCCAGTCTCTACTTAAAAACTTCCAGTGTTGGAGCATTCACAACTTCTGGAGGCAGGTTGTTCCACTGGTTAATTATTCTAACTGTCAGGAAGTTTCTCCTTAGTTCCAGGTTGCTTCTCTCCTTGGTTAGTTTCCATCCGTTGCTTCTTGTCCTGCCTTCAGGCGCTTTGGAGAATAGCTTGGCTCCCTCTTCTTTGGGGCAGCCCCTGAGATATTGGAAGACTGCTATCATGTCCCCCTCGTCCTTCTCTTCATTAAACTAGACATACCCAATTCCAGCAACCATTCCTTATATGGTTTAGCCTCCAGTCCCCTAATTTCTTGCAGGATAAACAGAAGAATCAACTTTTGACTGTAGGGTTTGAAGATTAGATCTGACTTAGAGAAATGTTGTAGCTTTTTAAATATAAAGTTATTTACCCGTATTTATTGGCGTATAACATGCACTTTTTCCCCCTGAAAATAGGGGGCAAATGATGTGTGCGTGTTATATGCCGATATAAGCTCTCCGCCGCCCGGCCCCACCTCGGCCCGGGCAGCCACGGCCCTTCCCCGT